ACTGGGAGAGAGACAGAGGAAGAGAGTGTGAGAGGAAAATTGAAAGACACGGGGACAGAGACAGAGAGATATCGAGATGAGAGACCGAGAAAGCTCCAGGGTGGAATGTGACAAAGTGACTGGGGAGACAGTAAGGGACTAAGACAGAGAGGGAGAGGGAAAGAGAGAGAGAGAGAGAGGACAGCAGACAGATTAAGAGAGAGCGACAGAGTGGATGACCCTGAGACGGAGAAACATATAGAGAGAAGGAACAATGGTGATACAGAACCAGACACAGGCAAACAGACAGAGGGGAGCGAGAGATAGAGAGAGAGAAGGGAGAGAGAGATGGAAATATGGAATCATAGAGAGGGAGAAGAGAGGAGAGACAAAGTGTGACAGACAGAGGGAGGACAGAGACAGGGCAGAGAGTGATAGAGAGAGTGTGTGACAGACAGAGGAGACAGAAAGTGTGACAGGGTGAGAGTATGAGCGATGGACAGAGAGAAAGAATGAGAGAGAAAGTGCAACAGACAGAGGTTGGGGGGTGGTGTCGGTTGCAGAGAGAGAGAGAGAGAGGAGACAGAGGAGAGAGAGGTAAAATGGGGTGGGAGGGTGAGTTGGGGATCGAGAGGGAGTGACAGGCAGTCGTAGTCACACATACTCACACAGACACAGGCAGACACAAACATACAGAGACACACAGACAGAGACACACAGTACAGGGACACACACACACAGACACAGACACATAGTACAGCACAGGGACACACACACACACACACAAACAGAGACACACAGTACAGGGACACGGACATACACACACACACACACACACACACACACACACACACACACAGACACAGAGTACAGGGACACACACACACACACACACACACACACACACACACAGACACACAGTACAGGGACACACGCACACAGAGACACACAGTACAGCACAGGAACACACACACACATGGAGCTGAAGGAGTGAGTGGTGGGACCTCCCTGAAGTACAGAGATGTTGGGGAGGGGGCTGGGGAATGGTATGAGGCAGACACAAACATACAGAGACACACAGACAGAGACACACAGTACAGGGACACACACACACAGACACAGACACATAGTACAGCACAGGGACACACACACACACACAGACACAGACACAGACACAGACACATAGTACAGCACAGGGACACACACACACACACACAGAGTACAGCACAAGGACACACACACAC